TCAAAGCAAAAATCGAAGAAACAATCCAAAAATCACCCCAAATTGGTTCAAAAAAAAATTTGGCGAAGGTAAACATTATTATTTTCCTTTCCAGTTTTGTAGTTTTGTTTTGTATGTCAAAATCTCTGTTTTAAGTGTTTTGGTAAATTGTAGATTAGTTGTCTTAATTTTGTAGGTTATTCTGTAGATGTGATGTTTTACAGTTTATAATTGTAGGTATTTTGTAGTTGTCTTGTATTTATATTATCGTTATATTTTAAATGTTGAAACAGAGATGTATTTACTTTCTTATTCCTGCATTTTTTTCTTCCTCATTTGTTTTTACCTATTTGTGTAGTGATGGTGTAGTTATATGTAGATAATATGTAGATTAATGCTTCATTTTATTGCATTTTACTGATGTGAAATAATTTATCATTTTTTGCAGAATGGACATTATTTTGCCCCACAAAATATGGATTATGGTGTGCTTAGATTCCACACTTTGTGTGATCCTAGCATTCCTAGCCAGATAAAAGAGTTGTTGTCTCCAAATGTTTTAAAGCTTTTTAAAAATACTTGTTTTGGTTACTTACTGTCTCTCCCCTCCATTTGCATGCAAAACCAAGCTATTCATCTCCTCATGAAGTATGAACTGTCTAAGTCTAATGAATCATTTTTTTCAGTCAACTTGAAGGGGGGAAAATTGAATTTTTCATTGAGAGAGTTTGGTTTAATTACTGGATTAAATTGTGTGAATCAGTTTTCAGATTTTGGATACACTTCTAGTTATGTTAGCAAGTTAATGAATAGCTATTTTCCTAACAAAAAAAGAGTAGAGAAGTGGTATTTGAAAAACATAGTGACAAATAGATCTTGGGTAAATGATGAGGATGCAGTCAAGTTGTGCATTCTTTATCTTTTGGAATTTTTTGTTTGCCCTTCTGACAAAGACCATGTGTCTTTTATAGACAACTTTAGGTTCTATTTGGTGGAGTCTGGTCAGTTTGAGTCATACCCATGGGGTATTAAATCTTTCAATCAGGTTAAGGAATCTGTTAGGCATTGTCTAAATCCCCGCGTACATTCTTATCTAATACGGGGATGCTCATTAACCTTGCAAGTATGGCTTTATGAGTGTTGCTCGACCGTCAACACGGAGCTTGCTATGAGGTCTTCTGACTCAATACCTCGCATATTAAGATGGTCAGCTACTAAGGGGCAGATTTGGTTAACTGCCTTTGAGGAGAAGATGATCAAGCCTGAGTGGATTAAGGTATTTTTTTCAGTTTTGGTTACTGTCTACATATACATTCATAATATTTACAATCTGTCTACATTTTCTTCCTTAGTGGAACTAACTGGTTTTTTTTCATCATTCAGTTCACAAGCATAACTGAATCTGGAGAAGAGATTGGAGTGCTTACTCTGCCAAACAAGATTCAATATGAGGATGAACAAGTTGCACAATCATCAGAGGTTCCAAATGTTGATTCTCCAACATTGGAACCCAAACATACAGATTGTCAAGAGGACAAGGAATCTGTGGCTAAGAAGCTCAGGAAGCTAGAAAAGGGAATTCAGCAGGTAATATTATTAATTACAATATATTTACATATTAGCTACAATTTATCTACATTTCATAACAGTTGATGTAGTATATATTGTAGTTAAATTGTAGTATAATTCTATATTTCTATATTTTTAACTTTTAGGTTGATGGAAAGTTAGCGGATTTTAGGAAGGCTGTATTTGAGGAACTCCATAAACTGAGAGTGTTTATAGATGATTCTGTGAAGAGTGTTTTGAAATTGGTAAAAAGGAGCTATGATGTGGATGAGGCAAAGGTAAGAGTTGACATATATTTATATACCAAGACAAATTATGACATATGAAACAATATACAACCTAACATTAAATCTTCAGTTTGCTGGTAGTTCAACCGAAAACAATGACCAAAAACAAGGATTGAACAACCAATAATTTCATTGCAATATTGGTGATCAAGTGCATGCAAGCACAAGCAACACAGGTATTTACAAAATACCTACAAATATATACACTTATTATAAAACTTTATAGAACAAAGTTTTATTATTCACATTTTATCTACAACTTCCTACCTATATCTACAACTTTCAAGGCAGCATTATCTAGTATTATTTACCTTTTTTAATTATAAATTAAGCTGCAGTTTGTCCAGAACATGTTCCAGGACATGTTGACTTATATCCAGAATTTCAAGCTGATGTTGATCAAGCAGGTATAAAATCATGCTGTCATTCATAATAAATACTCGTTGTTTATACAATTTTACATTCCTGTTAAGTCATTTATGTTTTATGTAACAGATTGAAGATGTCAATGTACACTGCCCAATTAACTGTAGCAGCTCAGACAGAACAAGTCAATGAGAAACAGCTAAATGAAGGTGAAGATGCACAACATGTGGATGAAGTTGGTTCTGAAGGATCATGCATTGATAAGAAGTGTGTGACATTGGATGACTTTGAGTTGCCAGACAACTTAACACAATTAATTAAGTTTGGAGAGCCCATACCAGATGAAGCAACCCCTATTCATCCGGGGAGAAGCAGGCAACTGGGGAAACATGCACGATCACCTTTCATACCTCTATATAGTTCTGGAGGCAGCAGCTCTATTGGTCCTAAATTTTTCTACCTCAAGCACCCCTTCATAACTCTTATAGGTGAAAATGCAGATTCTGATGTGTTAGATAAGTTCAACAAGTGGTTATACCACCGTACTGACAAAGTTTCTAAGAGGTATGAATGCTTAGTTTGACACTGTCATTTCAGCATTTTAAAGTTTACATATGTAATTCATTATGTGATTTTTTTGATTGGACATTTATTTGTTGTTAAAGGAGGAAGGCTCCCTTTTCAATAAAGGATAACCAAATCAAGCCTTGGTTAGACCTTGGAGTTGAAAAGGTGGATAAGAAGGACTGGTTTTATTCCCTTGCTCACCCCGGACAAGTCCTCAATAACTCTGTAAGTATCAAAGAATAAATTCACAAGATATATTCTGGCTTCTGTTTTGTAGTAGAATTGTAGTTATTACATGATTGTAGTTAATTTGTATTTATGCTGTAGTTTAAGATGAAGACTTACAAATGTGTGCTATAGTTTGAATGTCAATATTATTGAGACCTTATGGTAGTTTGCTGTTTTCCATGTGTTGCTGTGTATAGCAGCTAAAGTGTAGCTATTTGTTAGTTTATTTGAATTCTGGCTTTTTAGTTTAAAATGTATCTGCCTTGTTGATAATTGTAGTTACAGTGTAGCTTATAGTAGATTTTATTTTATTATGCAACACATTGATGTTATTATGTATTACCTGAGAAAAAGAGGCAAATATGGCCCCAACAACAACAACACTAGGTTTACAACAACCGATTGCTTGTTCAAGTCAAAGATTGAACAAATCTATGAGAAGTTCATAAGTACTCCACAAGAACAAAAGTTTCGATTGTTAAACACGATGATGATGTCGCAGAATATATTCTTGGGTATAGAATTCTTGCTAATGTTGCCTGGGATGAAGTTGACTATGTCATCATGCCCGTGAACATTGTAGAGAAGTTCCATTGGTTGTTGGTCGTTTTCGACATAGCGGACAGGCAACTTTATGTGTATGATTTCATGGTGTATTCACACAACCATAATGCTGTTGAAGCATGTGTTGATAAGTTTTCAATCATTATCCCTCTGTATTTGTCTTGCAATGATTTCTACGGTAAGCGTAAAGACATTGACTTCAAGACCACAAAGGCATACATTGAGAAACCAGTTACATACCCTCTCAACATACAGCGGTTGGTTGCGGAGATTCCACATCAAAAGGAAGGATCACTGTAAAAAAACTATTCTCTCTTTCTAAATGGTTAATTATTATTTTTTTATAATCATTTGTTAAATAATTAAATTTTTGTGTCTTATGCAGCGATTGTAGGGTATTTGTGGCTGCTTTTGCGGAGTATGTTAGCCTTGGAGATTTGTCAATCCCTTCAGAAGACCTTTCGGATATCGACCAACACCGTACACGCTATGGAGCTCTCCTATGAGACTATGCTACAAAGAAGCAAGAAGATGGGTCAATCAGTGAAAGTGAGGTTACAGGAAGGCTAGCAAGGAGAAAGGGTGCTCCTGCTTTGAATGAGAAAACTAGAGTACAGAGAAAGAAGAAATAGAGTGCTATTTTCCTAGTTTACTTGATGCCAATTTGTAATTGAAGGAGAATACAATATTTTATGAACAAAATTTTTATGTTTTTATTGCAACAGACTTTATTGTTTTGTTATTTTATGGCAATATCTACATTTTGTGAAGAATCAATGTAGTTATTGTATATAAATTTTGTATTTGTATATCATAATTTCTATTTGTTTACCTTATGTATATAACTGTCAGTTGAAGTTAAATTACACAACAAAAAAATTAAATAAATACTCCAATCATAGAAATGTGTTATCCACAATGAATCTGCAAATTGTCCACAAAATTTTACAAAGACTACAATTTAACTACATTTAACCTACATTATATCTACAATCTGAAAACACTTTACATGAATTTACTTTTTAATATCAGTTTTATTGTAGATAATAAATATTAATACAAAATTACACTATATCAAAGACAAATTTAGATGCCTGAGAAGATACATAAAAGCATATTAAACACACATAATAAAATTGTAGTATACTTCATAACGATCTTTAAAAACTTAAACAATTACACAAAAAATGTAGATTCTTTAACTCACTAACAGTAACTACAAAATAACCATTCTAACTACATGATATTTTTTTTTTTGGGTGCATTCTTGCAAGATAGTTTGTTATGCCCTTCACCTCCACAGTTTCCACATGACACCTTGTACTTCTTTGACTTTAGTTCATCATATGTTTTGTATCTTTCCTTTTGAGGTCTTCCTGACTGCTTTTTCTCTCCCGTAGGTGGTTTTACTACTTCATCAGATATATGTTGTGGCACATTCTATTTGCTTTCATCAGGAAGGGGATTTACTGGTATTTCATATGTACGGAGTAGGCTCTCCCTTGTGTAATACGGCGAGCAATAATTTTCATATCCTTCATTCCTGTCCCTTAAAGCTGCCAAAGCATACACACATGGAAGTTCATCAAGTTGGAACTGGCCACAAGTACATTTCTTGTTTTCAAGACACACAATGTACCGCTTCACACCATCTATCACAGTATAGATAAGATCTGTTGAAGCCCTCACCTACAATTACATAACAAACAGAAATAAAGATATTTAAAATTCATAAAAATAGTTTATCTACAATTATTATCAACTTATCTACAATTTATCTACAAATGATCTACCATCTACAAATTAACTACAGTGTGTCTACAATTTATCTACATTCTGGAAACATTTTATATAAAAATATTATTATTCTCCACAAAATAAAGAGATCTTACCCTAAGTTTCTGAGATAATGTACTGTTTTTCTCCAATTCTTTGTTGAATTTGTACCCAAGGTATATGAAAGTACCCTTTGCCTTCAACAACTTCTCTTTCGTCCTACGTTCAAGAAGTGTCCTCATATACTCTAATAGGTCAAATATAGGCAGCTCTCTTGCATATTTTGTTACAGCATTCAACGACTCTGCGATGTTTGATGTCATAGTCCAAGTTCTATTCACCGTTGCATGTACTCTTGACCATCTATGATAGCCAATATCATAGAGGTATGATTTAACATGAGGGTCTATCTCTTCAATCTTCGACATCCTTTCATTAAATTCATCCATAGTGTATGATCCTGCTGTAGCAAAGTACAATTCATTTAATTGTAGATGACCCTTCTTGAACTTTGCCCTTATATTTGTCCAAATATGCCACACGCAAGAGTAGTGTGGCACGCCCGGATAGACAATTGATGTTGCCTTCAGGATACTCTCATTCCTATCTGAAACAACACACATTGAAGTTCTTTCACCATATGCTAGCTTGAATTGCTCAAAAAACCACTTCCATGATGCATCGTTTTCCGAATCAACCACTGCATATGCCAAAGGCAATATTGTTCCTACATTATTAATAAAAAATTAATTAACTGGCAGCTT